GTGTGTGTGTGTGTGTGTGTGTGTGTGTGTGTGTGTGTGTGTGTGTGTGTGTGTGTGTGTAAACGTCTCACAGTTGTATGGAAACTGCAAGTGTTCTCTTTTTTCCATGTTTTGTGTTTGTGGCAATATACTGTATTCAGAGGTATAATCATCAGCGAGGATGATGATGATGCAGCTAATGCTAATGCCATGCTTATCCATGCTAGTCACTAGCCTTTCTGATGCTAACACAAGTGAATAGTCGTCTTCTCATTTGCCAGCTCTAACCTCTCAGTTAGCGATGCCGGCTTATCATTAATCAGATCAATAGCTGTCTTAGGAATAAATATAGCCTCCTGCTACAAGGATGTAGCAGCCGCTGGTTGCGCAGTAGTCTTAAATTTGGCTCTCCATAAAAAAGAACATGGTTTGTTCACACCTGCTCAGCTTGATGAGGGGCTTTACACTGACGTAATATCATTAAAGCTGTTCGCTTTGATGCTGGAACGCAGCGGATAGTTGGGGCTAATTTTGTTTTGTTTAAAAGTTAAACCTTTTTAGTGAACCAGCCTGAGTGTCCTGGATCTGCAGCACATCTGGACTCAACCATAAGACTTTAATGGAAGGGTTGAGGAAGTCTCAAACTCCTTCAGCCTCAGTCTGAACTGGAGCATGAAGGACCGGGGGTGGCTGTGGCAGAGTGGTTAGGGGAGTCATCCTGGAACCAGAAGGTCGCTGGTTCAATCCCCCTTCCAGCTGTCTCAGTTGTTGTGTCCTTGTGCATTGGGGCCTCTGATGTGTGTCCCATCAGTGTGTGAATGTGATTGGCACTGTTTAGTCTCCATAGATGATTGTATATGTTAGCTTTGTAGGAGACCTAATAGAGTGCTGTGTGAATTGGTAAATAAGGACACAGATTGTAGTGTGAAGAGCTTTGAGTGTCCTGGTTGGATAGAATGGCGYTATATAAGTACAGTCCATTTACCGTTTTACCATTTATAGACGGAAGATGGATGGATACTTGATCCTGTAAAGGAAATTCTTTGATTTATTACACTACATATTGCAAGTCTTTATGCTTTCCATCAAGTGCTGTTTGTTCTCCTGACATCTGTACGAAGATGTTTTATGAAATCTTCTGGGCCTCACAATGTTTTTAATCTACATGACCATTTACCCATGATCAATGCAAGTTAGTTTAATCTAAATATTGTTTTATTAAAATTTATACCAAGGCAGTGAGCAAAAAGCAAAATGACAGGATAGAAGCAGGTCAAAATCAGAGAGGAGAAGCTGTGGCTGCAGCTTGAAAAGGTCATCTTCTTCTTTTGGCTCAAATACTGCAGGAGAAAGTGACGAATGCAGGAGATCAGTGTAGATAAAACCACAGAGAATGGAAGTTTGTGCAGCTGTGTTTTTATTTGATTATTGTTTGAACAGCTGCTGAATGTGTGCATCTTTCATTTACTTTAAGTTGCTCGGATTAAGCTGGACTAAATAAATGATACAAAAAACCACCTGCTTACTCATWTAAACAAAACACAATGATTTCTGTTTCAGTAGGATTTTATTTAAAGCTTTTAGTGTATGTCATTCTTGTGTAGAAATGCTGCTAACACTCAGCTGATGTTGTTTCAGGAGCACTCCACATCAGGATTGTGCTCCTATCAGGACACGAACATGTCTCTACCAGGAGTCCTCACCATCAGCAGTGCTCCTTCATCTGAAGGTAATTATCAGTTAGGTGTTTAATACCATCATGCAGAACTTTGAATTAAGTCTGAATCACTTCTCTGCAACAATAAGTGATTTAAATAGTGAATTTCTGATKAGATGTCTGAGACATTTTAGGTTGGTTTTCTCAGTGTAGCACATCCATAGACTTGAATAAGAACACCWAGACTGAGCCTCGCCCATCCTGTCCACTGGTAGYGTCTGTGACAGCATGGAGGAGCAGAAACAGAGACCAAACAGGGCWTCAGCTCACAGCCCCCATAGAAACTAATAGATAAACAGCAGCTGAACCAGATCTGTTTCACAAATTACCTGTCATGTTTTTACAACTATGTTAATTTCATTCAACAATCGTAAAACAGCAGATTTGTACCAGAAAAAAATACATTATTTATCAATAAAAATCATCTAATCCAGACCTGAAGTCAGCTTATAACTTAGACTTTAGCTAGTTGAAAAATGATGACTTCAGCAAGTAATAAAG